CACCAAGACAGTCCCCGATTCACCGCGCCCGGCAGCAAAGCCACAAGCACAGAAAATCTCACCCCCCGCAGGCACCTTCCTCCCCGTACGCTCCACAGACGCCGGCCCAGCTCGGAGTTGAAACGCTCCGCTAGCGGCGCAGACGCGCTGCATCCGTAACGCGCGACACCACGGCCGCACCACCGCCCTCAGGAGCGCGGTCTGCTACCCGCCCAAAGCGCTCCCGTTCAGAAGAGTTTGCTGCTTTGCGGACGGAAGGCCTTGGAGCAAGGGGAAGACGTGCTCACGCCCAGGGAGAGGAACGTTCTGCCTAACGGTCCGCTCTAGTTCAGCCACCAGTTGCAATCAGCCGCAGAATCACGGAATCGTTAAGGCTGGAAAAGACCTCTAGGATCATCAAAGCCAACCGTCACCCCAACCCCACCACGCCTGCGAAACCACGTCCCCAGGTGCCACATCCACACGTTTTTTGAACCCCTCCAGGGACGGTGACTCCCCCCCTGCCCTGGGCAGCCTGGTCCAACGCCTGAGCACTCTTTGAGTAAAGAAACTTTTCCGAACATCCAACCTAAACCTCCCCTGACACAACCTGAGGCCATGACCCTGTGTCAAGCTCTCCAGCCAGCACCACGACACAGCCTGACCTCAGGCCTATCTCCCCCTGATGTCAGACACCAAAAGAACCTGCTCCCGCTCCCCATCCAGACCGTCTGCTTGTTCTGAGCGGCAGCCACCGCCCCGTCACCTACGTACAGAATGTCACTGAGCTGCTGAAACTGCTCCATGGCTTTGGGGCACCAGCACTGCTCTCTCTTGCTGCTGCAGCCTGCGCACAGCGGGCTCTCTCCTCCGCCCTCCTCCGTATCGCTCTCCTGCTCGGTCTCACTCATGGTGCTCTCGCACTCGGTCGTTCCATCTTCTCCTTTCTTCCACTGCCGCATGTATATCCTGAAGGTGCGGCTGTAGAACTGCTGGATCATCTCCTGGAAGGACTTGGTAGTGGAGAAGAAAAGGATAGCTTTGAACATGGTGTAGACCTTCTCCTGCAGCGTCTGAGCGCCTGTCCCCAGGAGCAAGCCTGCCTTGGTCCACCTCCCCAGGAGCTCCAGGCTGTTGAGGTAGGGGTCCAGGCGGCACTTGAGAAGACAAAAGGCGTCCAGGAGGAGTGAGGAGCACTGGGGCTCCTCAGCCGTGTTTTCATACTGGCCGATGCAGTTCCAGAACTCAGGAGCTATGTTTGCCTGAAGGTCTGTCTGCAGCACCTCGAGGAACCACTCCTCCACGATCGAGTGCAAGTCGTAACACCGCAGCACGTCCAGAGCTGCCCGCAGCTCGGCATCCTTCAGCGGCCCCACAGCGTCGGACCTCGGTGCTGCCTGAAAAGCGGAGGGGACACCAAGTTCAGCACGCAAAAAGCCTTCTCTAGGAGGGTCTGCGGCAGAAGAGACCGCTCACATCCAAGAGCAGGGACCAAATGCACACGAACTCTGCTGCCCAACGGCACCAGGCTGATGCTGCTCCTCCACGGAGACCTGCCGGGGTCTCGGGGACCTCCTGCACGGAGACCTGCCGGGGTCTCGGGGACCTCCTGCACGGAGACCTGCCGGGGTCTTATTTATTGTGCATAATTCTGAGTGACAATGCAGAGTGACCTCTGTTTTTTTGCTCTTCATTGTGTCAGAGTGGTGCTGGATTCCTCAGGCTGAGAAGTGGCAGAAGATGTTTATTGTCCCTTTGTACTCTGCAGATTTTGTAAGACGTTGTTCTTTAATCTGTTGGCTTCCTATAGCTGAGCCTATGAGGGCTTTACATCACAGACAATGTCCATTTATAGTGCAAGAATGAGTTACCCACTAATGAATTCATAAAGCTCATACCGAGGTTGTTTCCATACTATTCTTCATGAAACACTTTCATTCAGTCTGGGCTGAAATTGTTTCATTCTGCTGTTTTTGAGGTGAAAAAGTTTGTAACACCTTCACCATGTATATAGATAAATTGAAATACACCTTAAATATCAAATTTCATTGCTGTTCTAGATTTATGCCTGCACATTTGAAGAATAGTATGTGTTGTTTTACTTGAATCATTTTAAAATCTAAAAAATTTAAGATCTGAAGATGCATTATTTGATCTCTCATATTTCCCTTTGAAAACTTTGCAGCCGTGGGTGAAATCCAAGACTTCTCCCCTGATTTCAGTCAAAGTAGGCTTCAAATAGGTGTATTTGTCTGACATTGAAGCCGGAGATGACACGGGATCAGAGCACATATTTTAGAGAGAAAAAAACAGTACAGGCTTTAAAGAAGTTTTTAAAACTCTGTTCTAAAAGTTGTGATGGCCTGAGAGTTTTATAAATTAAAAAAAAATAAAAAAATTGTAGGATCAGATTATAGTGTTGTGTAGTTACTGGTGCTTTCCTGAGAGGAAATTATGTTATTAGCTTGGGATTTTAATGTTTGAGTCTAATAATGCAAATCGAGATATATTTTTCTGACATTTAAAGTACGAAAATACACAGGGGGTCAAAACATGCTTCTAGCGTTTAATTTACTATACAATGTTTGATCATAAGACTGCATTTTTAAACTGTAATATTCATCAGCTTTGAGATATAACATGTTTCATATGGGTGGCACAATGGTTTACCTGTATAAGGATTGTGTCTTTACCATTTGTTTAGATGTGTCTAGCAATCTATGTACACCTATATTTATACACACACGCATACACTCACACACATATATGTTCTTTTTACCTTTCTCCTTTTCAATAAAAAGTTAATGATGGCTGTCAACACACGCCTGTTTGTTATGTTAATAAAGGAGAAATAAAGCCTCATAAAAAGCAAATTTGAATTAGAAATTAATCCAAATGTATACAATTTAGAAAATATGGTGCTGATTATAGAGTTGTTGTAAGTTAGTATAATGCACTGATAGGACTATAGAATATGTCTCTCACTCTCTTCTGTGTCTTCCAGTTTCCTGAAGAGTTTTAGCTCTCTATTTTTCTGGTCCCATTTAAATGAAATGTTTATGTAATAATGATTATAAGACTGTATCTACAAGCCATTAATGACTCTGCAGGTTACATTGAGAACTGCCTCACGTCCCCGGCCCCTCCCCGGCTCGGTGCTGCCCGGCCGCTGGCTTTCAGATGGGGCTGGAGCTGCTTTCTCAGCCGCCCTCGGGACCTGATGGTTTGGGGTGAGGGGGGGGAACGTGCATAAACATTTGTACAGCTCAGAAATTGTCGTAAAGCTACACGGACAGCACCTTTTAAAAGAAACCTTCCCTGAGATACAAGTCACAACCCCCCCCAGCCTACAACTGAATTCATGTTTATTGAAATTAAAAGACAGTCACAGCAGGTAAAAGCAGGAGAGCTGGCTAGGAGGGGAGATGCAGCCGTCCCGCAGACAGACACCAGTGACCAAGTTCCTTCCCTGCAGATGCGCTTCTCTCGTCCATGGCCTTTCCCAGCCCCTGACAGGCGCAGGACTCCCACCTTCTTCCACGGATGAGGTGGCAAGGTCCCACCAAGGCGTTCCACCGCTGTCGCGCCCTGCGGGCCGCTTACCTGCATCTCTTCTCTGACCACTTCGTGGCTTCCACAGGTTCACAGGAACGCAGAGGAGCTTTGGGACTACAGCCCTCCTGTCACGTTTTGGTACAGCTCTCCACCACGCTAAAACTTGAAAGTGGCGAGACGGACGGGCAGCAACATCTCCTAAACCTGTTGTAGCCTTGCTCCCCGGACCATAATAAGTGGGAATGTTAGAGTACGTACAATATAAGCTAAAAATAGGAGAAAATGAATAAAAGGAAAGATTTAGTCTGACTTAAGGTCATTGTGGAGTTGAGTTAGTCTTGAAGCAAGAAACCCAAACTGTGCAGCTCTAACAGTGGAAGATGGTTGAAACTTGGTCAGCTGAGCACAATTTAATAGTGATCTAAAAAGCCCAGGCACCAACATCTCCCTTCAAAAAAAAAACCCCAAAACCAGCCAACCAAACAGAAACAAAACCAACAGTTCACCCCACAGCCTGCTTCAGGAATTTCTCTGCCTCCTGCTCCAAGGCAGAGAAATTGCTTGAGGTGTTTTGTATTCAGAACATGGGCACGAACCGGAGAAACTCCTCCCTCCACAGATACTCCCGCAGCGAGACAGGACAACACATCACTGAGAATCAGATAATGTATGGGCTGGAGAACCCCTCTTGCTGCAAGCTAGATCAGCCGAATTCGAAGGGAACTCAGAAACAGTTTATGTAAAAATAAGCTATTTTTATTTCTTTCTTTCCCAGACTCTGGAGAGTTCTCAGGCATTGCTAGATGCCCTGAAGGAAGAAACTGGGAGTGCTGGTAAAGCCAGCGAGCCGCAAAGCACTTCAGAAGAGAAAGAGAAACAAGCACGTGGACCAAAGCATTCCTAAACTTATTCTTCAACTTGGAAAGTCCTGTTGCTTTGGGACAGCTGCTGTGCTGGTGCAAGGACGCCACATTTATTAAAAGTCTTTGTTTTGCAGAAGTAAATTTTCCTTTCAGATGCACTTTGGTATTCGTTAGATATCTACTAAAGTTAATCCTCAAGATCAGGGTAGACATCTACAAAAAAATACCCTTTATTTTGAGCACAGTGATACTGAAGCACATCCCCCGCGGTGAGCTACCAGCTAACGCTTCTGCCCTCAAAACACCATTCCCCTCGCGCTGCCAAGAGTGAGCGGAGGGTTCATCTGGTACAGCCAGGGCTTGGAGCCCAAAGCTGGGCAGGGGGCTGGCAGCGCTCAGGGAGGTGCAGGTGACAGCTACGAGGTAGAGGAGGCAAACTGGAAGGAGGACTGGAGCAGCCAGCAGCACACCAGGGCACCACACGCTCCTCTCGAGAAGCTCACCCTGCGCTCCCACGCCTCCAGCCAGCCTGTCC